GTGACACCGATCCACCTCAAACCAAGAGGTGACACCGACCCACGTCCCCCTCCCGCCGGGCGCTCACACCCCCCCGCCGCGGCCGCGCTCCCGAGCCCCCCGCGCCGCCCGCCCCGCCGGGGGCTCGGCGGAGTCCCGGGCCGCCCCCTTACCTCCAGACCTGCCCCATCTGCAGCAGGTGGATGACGGTCTGCCAGACCCAGACGGAGATCCTGCAGAGGCGCTGCGCCCCGGGGGTGGCTCCTCCTACCCCGGCGGCGGGTCCCCCGCGCCGGCCCGCGGTCCCCCCCATCATGGGCGGCCCGCGGCTGCTGAGCCCCTGCACGGCGCCCAGCCCGCCGCCCGTGAAGTCCTGCACGAACCAGCGGAAGCTCAGGATCTGCACCAGCACCGAGGGCAGCAGCACGAAGGCCAGGGTGAGGCCGCACCACAAGTAGTCCCGCCGGCCGTAGTGGTGCAGCGCCAGCCACAGGTCCGTGCCCACGTCCCCCACCAGCACCAGCAGCGCCAGCACGATCCACAGGCAGTCCAGCCACGGCTTCTCGGCCGCCTCGCCGACCTCCGGCGGCCCCTCGGCGGCGGCGGGGGGGCGCGGGGCCAGCGGCTCGGCGGCGGCGGCGGCGGCGGGCGCCCGCCTGAAAAGGTTCCGCAGGCAGGCGCACCGGCAGCCCCAGTAGCAAGACGACGTGTTGCAGCAGTGGCAGATGTGCATGGAGCTGCTGGCGCCCGGCTCCTCCGCCACCTCGGCCGCCGCTGCCCCGACGCCGCCGCCCGCGGCCGCCGCCGCCTCGTCCAGGTTGTGCAGCTGGGCGAAGCCGCCGCCGCCGCCGCCGCCGCCACCGCCATCCGACTTGGCCGCCATCTTGCTGCCGCCGCCGCCGCGTCCCCGGCCCGTTCGCCGGGCGCTCGCTCGCTCGGCCCCCCCCGTGCCCGCTCCCCCCGCCCGCCGCTTCCGGGGGCGGCGCTTCCCGTGCGCGGGCCGCGGGCCGGGCCGGGGCCGCCTGGCGGCGACAGCGGCCGGAGCCGGGAGGGAGCGGCAGGGAAGGGACCTGAGAGACCGTCTCGTTCCAGCCCCCTGCCACGGGCAGGGGCACCTTCCACTAGACCGCGTTGCTCAAAGCCGTTCCCCCTTGCCCTGTCGCTCCGTGCCCGAAGTCCTCTTGGAGCCCCCCCTGCAGAATCATTTAGGTTGGAAAAGACCTCCAAGAGCATTGAGTCCAACTAACCCGGCGCTGCCGTGTTCACCCCTAAATCGCGTCCCCAGGTTCCACCTCTACACGTTTTTTTTTGAAAACCTCCGGGGATGGTGACTCCACCACTGCCCTGTTCCGTTGCCTGACCACGCTTTCCATGAGGAACTTTTTCCTGATATTCCAATCTAAACCTCCTCTGGCACAGCTTGAGGCCATTTCACAGAATCACAGAATCACTTAGGTTGGAAAAGACCTCCAGGATCATGGAGTCCAACCTGTGACCCATCCCCATCTTGTCACCCAGCCCAGAGCACTGAGTGCCACGTCCAGTCATTTCTTGGGCACCTCCAAGAGTGGAGACTCCACCACCTCTCTGGGCAGCCCCTTCCCAATGTCTGATCACCCTTTCTCTGAAGAAATTCCTTCTGATGTCCAAACTAAACCTCTCCTGACTCAGCTTAAGACTTTGGTACTGGAAGGTGCTCTAAGGTCTCCCCAGAGTCTTCTCCAGGCTGAACAACCCCAGTTCTCTCAGCCTTTCCTCAAAGGAGAGGTGTTCCACCTCTCTAATCTTCGAATCACAGAATCTTCACAGAATCATAGAATATCCTGAGTTGGAAGGGACCCACAGGTCCAACTCCTGGCCCTGCACAGAACACTCCAACAATCCCACCATGTTCCTGAGAGTGTTGTCCAAACAGTCCTTGAGCTCTGGCAGCCTTGGGACCGTGACCACTGCCCTGGGGAGGCTGTTCAGTGCCCAACCATCCTCTGGAGGAAGAACCTTTTCCTAATACCCAAACTAAACCTCCTCTTACACAGCTCCAGCCTCGGGTCCCTCCACTGCCCCTCGTGAGGCAGCTGCAGACTCTGATGAGATCTAACCTCAATTTTCTCTTCTCTTGGCTGAAGAAACCCAATGACATCAGTTGCTACTCATATGGCTTCCCCTCAATATCATTCACCATCTTCCTGGTCCTCCTTTGGACATTAAAAACGTTCCATTGTGTTTCTTCTCTCAAATTCCATGTGCTGACACCAGCATTCCCAAGACCATCCTCAGCTGGACCCCCTTGTGCTGACCCCATCCCACTCCCAAATCAACTCCCCTGTCCAGTGTCTTGACTCTCAAATCCATATTCTGAAATGCAACTGCCCTGTCCCTGTCACCTGCTCACCCTCAAATTCCAGGACCACCACTCTGCCCCCCAGGCTGTCCTCAGTCCCATGGCTGTGCTGGGGAAGGGGTGCTCCTGTCCCTCCCCATTGCACAGGTCCCCCTCCTTTACTCTGAGGGTAATGAAGCACTGGAACAGAGAAGCTGTGGCTGCCCCATCCCTGGAAGCGCTCAACACTGTGCTGAATGGAACTTGGAGCAACCTGGGATAGTGGAAGGTGTCACTGCCATGTCAGGGGATTGGAGCAAGATGATCTTAAAGGTCCTTTCCAATCCAAACCATTCTGGGATTCATTCTATGATAATACTGGCACTCTCCAAGCCCACCTGGGCACCCCAACCTCACATCACCTCATTGCCCTTCCAAACACCCCACCACAGTCGCTTCCTGTCCCTTTCCTTCTAACATAAGGATCACACATCCTCTCTCTCCTCTGCTCTTGTCCTTTCCTTACCCACTTTGGAGGACACTGCTTCTCCCACCCTGTTCTTATGGAATCAGGCAGACCAACCAGCTGCTCTCCATGGGCTCAGCTCCATGCTGGAGAAACCTCTGACAAGCTGAGGAAGCCACTCCCTGCTCTGTTTTTGGGATCTGCCTGGGGCTGAACTGCACCCCAGGCAGCTGTTTCACTGAAGAACCCACTGGCAGGCTGGGATGCCAAATTCAGGGTCCTTCCTCCCCAGTTCCCCATTACACATCTGTTCATTCATCATATCCATCTTTTCTGAGCTGTCTTGTGGTGTCCTCTGTAGGTTACAATCTTCCCTCCTTACCATTTGTACTTTTTCCTGTTTCATAAGGATGCTCCTTCCAGATCCTCCTCCAGCTGCTGCTTCTACCTCTTTCCATGGGAGTCTGAATTCTACCCTATCTCTCCTGTCTTTTTCTTTAAATTGTGGCAAAAACCAGGGCTGAGAGATTCGGGGCTCCAGAACTGGCTGCCAAAGTTGCTGCTTTGCGGAGTCTAAATTTCAACATGGAAAAAAAACCTCCCAGAAGGTAGAGAAGTGCATAAATGCAGATAAAATGCTTTTTGCAGGGAGGAAGAGTTAATTTAATCCTAAGAAAAGTGGGATGACTTGCATATATTAAATAGGCTGCCTGAGAAGGGTGTACTTGGTGTTTCTGAGTTGAAGGAGCTCAAAAGTTTTGTGAAGTCTGAAAAGTGCTGCTGTTTTTGAAATGGTTGGATCCTCCTACAGTGGAGAAACAGAAGAAAAGGAGCAGAAAGCAAAGTTTTTGGCATTAGCCGGGTGAATTCACCTGATGCACACCTGGATGTGACCAAAATGAAGTCAATTGGAGTGAAACTCTAGTACAAAGTTCTCCAAAAGGAGAAAACTGGTATTATCGATAATATTATATAAAAGGATTGGAGAGAGCATGATCCCACAGGTCCCCATGATAACAAATCCAAATGTTGCAGATATTCTCTTATTTTCTGCCCACTTAAGCTATTGCAAGAACATGGAAATAGATAAGACACAAACCAGCCCTTCACGTGCATAAGACATGTATAAAAATATATATATATAACATAAAATCTCTCTCCTGTTGGACACTTTCAAACCTAAATATGGATGTTAATTCTCCCAGCAGTAAGAAATAAGGACTCTGGGACCTGTATTTTTGGGTGGGAAGCACCCAGATTAAGCTTCAACTTCTGATTTGCTGCACAAGGAGATATAAATGGAATCATTCCTCATCCCTTCAAACTTTTCTGTGTAGCAGATTTGCTACATATGATTAGAAAGAGGGGGGAAAAAAGCAAAAGCAAAACAACAGAGAAGTAATAACACTATTTGGTGTTATTATTTAAATAGAAGTGTAGGTTGCACGTTGCACTTCACGAACCAATAAGGGGGCAGACGAGTCATCTGTTTTGATACAAAAACAACCCAAACTTGTGTGATGAGACATTTGGGTGGGAGAAGGCAGCAGTTGAGGATTTTGGCACACAAGATGCGAAAAGCAGCTGCTTGGCCAAGAGATGACATGATACAGCACACTGTTGGCACTGCCTCCCAATTTCTCGGTGCAGTTGTGACCACTGGTGTCCAAGAAGGGCAAAGTCAGGCTGGAATTTGTGCAGGGAAGAGCCAGGCTTTGATCAGAGGTCAGGAGAGTCCGTCTTTCTCCTGTGAGCTGGAAGAATTTGGCTTCTTTAGTTTAGCATAAATAAGATCGGAGAAGGAGTTTTCTGCCTATAAATACACCCTGGAAAGTAAATGCGCCTGGAAAGGCGCTGGGACGCTGAAGGGCAGTGGTGGAAAAGTAAATGAGTAGGAACTGGCCAGGAATATATTTAGTCTGGAAATCGGAAGATCTTTCCAGTAGGAGTATGGGAGACTAAAATAAAAAAGTAGCTCACTTCAACACAGAGCTTCATAATCTTATCAGGGAAAATGTGTGCCAGCGTGGAACGATAAACAGCTGGAATGAAAGCCCTTGAAAGGTCTTCCATCCCAGATCATCTCTCCTTGGAAAGATCTTGTCCATTTGGATGCATGGAACTCTACGTTCCTTCCTGCATCAGGCGATGACTCATGGATACATGACTCCGTGGGTGGCCAGAAGTGATATCTCCACCACTTACATCTTAATTCCTGATTATCCCATGATGTTCTCCAGCTCCTGCTCACTCTCCTAGCACACAGCAGAGATGCAGCCTTGTCCAAATCTCCTCACAACTTCCCCATTTCCTTGGTACCCACAGCCACATCTGCGTGGTGGCTTTGGCCAAGGACATGGGAATGGTGCTTTGCCCTCTCAATCAACAAGAGCTGTTCCATTGTAGCCCTGGCCCTTCCAGAGAGCTGGAAGTCATTAGTCAGAGCCTGTTTCTTTTATTAGCCAACACTATGGTATTTTTAGGGATTTTTTGGAAGTTGTGAGTGTCAATCACACCCATGTTGAGATCTCTCAACCCACATTTTTGAGAGGAGGAAGCTTTTTTTGGCGCTCAGTGTCATCCCACGCTTCCATCGCGCTGGAGGCGCTTCTGTCCGGAGGTCTGGGTAAACTCTGGGTGACCCTGAGATCTGCAAGTATTTATAAAACGTGTTTAGCCAGGGTTTTTCCCTTGCAGCACTGGGAGCTGATCTGTGTGTGCCTTGCATTTCATGCTCTCTCTGTTCTCCAGAAGCACCAGCAAGGCACCAGGAATGGGAGGAGTGTTTGGTGCTCTGGCAGCACCCCGGCATGGGATCATAACCTCCTTGTGCTGCTTGGGTAAAGGCTTTTTTGGTCCTGATCAATACACTAATTGGGCTGTGTGGTCTTCCATCTTCCAGGCATTTATTCAGATCAGGGGAACAAACACTATATATAGAGAGGTATGTAAGCCAGAATCAGAGTTGTGTAAATCTGGAAGTACCTCATTTAAATAACTGGGGGATGGATCCAACCGAGAGTTTGGTGTACGTGGAGTACAGATAATTACAATTAATGGGGATTTACTTTAAGCAAAGTAGGTCAGAAAAAAATGA